TTGAGATGTTTTTCCAGCTTTCTCTATGCCTATGAATATTTCACCACTCCTTGAGTTCTCATAGCCTTATACTTCATCTGCCTTGTCTTTGGTTTGATATACCAGTCTCTGATCTCTACTTAGAGGTTTTTCTCTGCTTTTCCTTTATCTGTTTTTTCCCCCTTGGTGACAGATTCAAAGCATGTGACTAATATTGCACCCTCTTTACGTTCCTCAGCCTTTCTGTAGGAAGTTGCCAATAGCTTTAACTTTACTTCTTGCTTGACAGTCCATGTTCAGCAACTGTGTCTAGATGTAGCAGGAATCTTAAAAGCTCTTATTAATAAGATCAAACCTGAGTCAGCTATTGGAGTGAACTGGAAGATCAGAGAACCCGAACAAGCCGCAGCTACCTCACCTCGCTGGATCCTCAGCTGGTCTTGTTTCCTCAGACTGGAGGCCTCTGAGTCCTCATCCAGAATGGGTCTCAGCTGAACTGCTGCTCAAAAGCCTGAATGCTTAACCAGGCCAAATGCTTCTAGTTTCTGGTCCTCATGCCTTATATACCTTTCTGCTTTCTACCACCACTCCCTGGGATTAAAGGCTCGCTTTCTGGGATTAAAGGCATGAGTCACCATGTTTGGCTGTTTCCTTGAACACACCGATTTCTGCCTCTGGAATTCTAGGATTAAAGGCGTGTGCTACCACTGCCTATCCTAAGTATCTAGTGGCTATTCTGTTCTCTGACCTCACATAAGTTTATTAGGGTACACAATATTTTGGTGAACACAATACCACCACAAACACCCATCTCCTCATCTAACCCCTCAGACTTGACATGTCCAGTCAGAAGCCACTTTGGAGTACTAAACACTATATTTTCTTAGATATTTAATGATGTGTTAAGAGTTCTTAACTTCCTTTACATACACAGCCAAAAACCCATCTATGAGCTGCTGATGTTATAAAAACCGATTTTAGAAGTGAATTCTGAGGCTCTGTTTATATTATTTAACAACTATACATTGTCAAAAGATAATTTAGTTTTTTCTCTTTTTTGTGCATTTCAAATTCTATTTATAATTATTTTTTATTATTTTATAATTTAATTTAATTTTACATATCAGCCATGGATTCCCCTGTCCTCCCCCTTCTCGCCACCCCCCCACCTTCGCCCCAGCCCACCCCCTATTCCCATCTCCTCCAGGGTAAAGACTCCTTTCTCTTAGACCCAGGTCGTTACTTGCAGTTGTTTGCAAAACTCTCTGTGCATGCTCATAGGTGCTTTTCTTCATCATGTGTAAACTTATTTTTTTTTTAGCATGTTGTCCAAACTACATTTTTTTAAACTTTTTTTGTTAATAATCTTCAACTTTTTCTTTTAAGTCATATTAATGCTACAAAGCCATAATAGTTATTTCAAAGCACGGGAAATGCTTAAAATATCTCCCCCGTCCACCTCTGCTCCACCATTGAATTGTCCTCAGACACCACTACCACTCCTACTCTTAAGATAGTGGTCACTTCCTGTCTCTCAGCTCTATTAGCCATCTTGTATACCACAGCTACAGTGCTACATTTATTACGTCATGATGCCTGTTACTGCCCATTTATTGACACCAAACTCTTCGACCCGATAATTGAAGATTCGAGTGATGTGGCTTTTTTTAATTGCATGCTTACTCTGCCCTGGATTTGCCCCTTTCTAGCTGCTTCCCCTCTCATCTATCAGCCACTTACTTAGATGCTGTTTCTTCTGTTAAACCTTCCTAAACTAATCAATCATTTCATCCTCTGAGTTTCATAGCACCCATTGCAATATAATAATTGTGCTGTGTGTCTGTCTATTGTAGTTTCTTATTCTTGAGTGCAAGATTAGGAAGTTCAAGTATAATCATCCATTTATTCCACCAAGGCAGTATAATATCTAGCATGGAGTAGGAATTTAATAGATATTTATTGAAGAAGTAAATGGGCAAGTAAAATAATGGCTTCGTGGTTTTCGGGAACAATTCTGCAGTTACCTATGTTTTATTTTTATGAAATGTCTTTGTAAATCTCTCAAGTTCATATCACACACATACATACACACACACACACACACTAGTGGGAAAAGTAATATCTACATTAAGGCTGTGGAATTTGTGGTTACTGTTAACACTGAACTTCTTTTTAAAAGATTTTAAAGTGCCCCATCTTCCTTTATGTGCTACCTTTTAAAAGTGGTAGATTACAAATCATACTAGCCTTAAATATGTGACTAAAATAAAAATCAGGTGTTACATATTCACTGAGTATACTCTACAGACACCTCACAACACACACATGCACACACATTGTAAGTTATATATTTAAGTCAGGTTCTTTTCTATCTCTTTAAAGAAAGTCCCCAAAGATAAGTCAATTATTGTATAACTTTCCCAAAAATCACTTTGGCAACTTTAATCTGTAAAATAAAACTAGTATTTCGTTCACTGTGGCCAACTCTTTTATTTTACCACTTACCTAATTTTATACAAATGGCTCCTTTTACTTCAGTTTTTAACATTCATAGCTCCAGATAAATGGTAGGAAATTAACTAATACTAGGTAAGATGGCTGTTGTTACTGTAAGGACTATTGGTCTTGATAATAATATAGGCTTTAGCCAGATAGTTTCTTACTTTGTAGTGATGCAGGTGTTTATTGAAAAGTAAAATACAGTGCCCTTTCTCCCGTGAGGTGTTTGTAGTACTGTCAAATTGAGTTTGCCTCTGGCTAGAATTTTCTTTCTTTTTCTTTTTTTCCTCATCGATAAAATGTATTCTGTCTTCTGTGTGTTGTATGTGTTCCCTCACCAGGAACACAGGTCCCAATCTATTTTTGAACACAAGTCTTTTTTTGCATTTTTAATACCATTTTTTTCAACGACGCAGAAGATAAATCATTTGCCAATGACTTACCCATACTGCAGTTAAATAATTGTAATTGAAATTATATTAACTAGACCAAGATTTAGTTTTGCTTCCTTGCAGAATCACAATCACTCTTTGAAGAATCTGTTGTTATTTTGTCTTCTGAATGACATCACATCTTTAATTGAAAATTTTGAAATATCAAAGCATTCATTAGACAAGCTGAAATAGAAACATTCATTTCATAATTTTTACTCCTTGTCTAATATCATTAATTTTAACATGCATTATAAATTTGAATGAATGAAAATCTTAGCTGCTTAATCACAAAATGTATAGGTATATTTTGGATCTGCTGAATGATTTCTTTGCCTTGGTCATTTCTTTAAAGTATTATTATTGCTTTTAATGGACCACCTTCTGTCCCAACATTAATCAACAGGTTCAATGGTATGTCTTTGTTGTAAAGCAGAAGCTAATTTTAGAGAAAATATGCAATTGACTTATGTTGCATTTATCACGTAGTTCAGGAGGAATTTGAACTCTCTACCTATGGTCTTACAGGGTCAGGATCAGACTTCTGGGACTCAGAGCTAGGTTGCTCTAATCTTTACTGTGTAATGTTCTTTGATGGGTAACAGACAATCATTGTGGAAGTCTTAGAAGATAACTAGAGACACTAGATATATAAACTATAGACAATTTAAACACCATTAGATAAATGACATTATAGATATACTTAATTAATTAATTAAATTACTGATTCCATGGACTAAATCATTGATCAAGTGAAGAGGAACAGATCCATTTTTTCAAAAATAGATTTGAACACACACACACACACACACACACACACACACACACACACACACACCCGTGCTCAGTTAACTTTTCTTTCTAAGGCGTAGTCCTTCTTTCCTTCTTTGTTTCCACTTCTTTAAGTCTGGGGATTGGTGTACTCTCAGCTGGAAATTACAACTCAATCCAAAATTACACAGTGTTTATCTGATTTCTCAAAATGAACAGACTGTCGGACTGAGTTCAGAATTAGAGAGAGCAATTTAAGCATTGGAGTCTTTAATCTCAGTAATGATACTCCTCAGTTCTTAGCTATCCAGGGGGTTGTTTAGGCTTCTTATCTTTTGCGACTTACTTTTCCTCCCTCCTTCCCTCCATCAATGAAGACAGGTCGCCAGGAGGACTAATAGCCAGCAACAGCAGCAGGTTTTTTTTTTGTTTTTTTTTTTAACAGAATCCAAGCTGTTTCTTTAAAGCAGACTTTCTTAAAACAAAAACAACCAAAAGTACTGTTCTTTACAGTTCACTTTTTAAAGCAACTGGTCTGCTTTTATTAGAGAAATACCACATGTGGTGAATAGAAGGTTCATGTTTCTGGTTGTTTTCAGTACTTTGTGGTGATGGATTATTAAGACTGGGTGATCTCTACATTATGGCCTTTAATCTAAATTTGTATGTACATCTACATGCATTGTAGTTGGATGAAAACAATGATTTTACTATGTGTTTTACTCTCCCGATTGACTTTCCTTCCTTCCTTCCTTCCTTCCTTCCTTCCTTCCTTCCTTCCTTCCTTCCTTCCTTTCTTTCTTTCTTTCTTTCTTTCTTTCTTTCTTTTTTTTTTTAAAGAATGTGTGTTGTGGGATGGAGGAGCAAGCAAACAGAGCTTCACCTGTTCTAATGTGACTAGGTATAGTGGTTTAAATAGATAATATTCTTGTACTGACCTGACATGAAAACGTTATTTGAGACTGGAATTGTTGTCTACACATTGTAGAAGACACAGACAAGCCTGTATCTTATCATTGTCATATGTGTCCACTCTTCAGACTTGCTTTGTGCACTGGTAAAACAGTTGGCTGTTCTTATTACTTAGGGCTTACAGTAGCCTATTGATTTTGTTTCATGTTATGTTTAAATCAACTGTCTTTATTTTATACTATCCTAAGGGGCTATTTTATTTACTGAGTTTCCTTTAGATCTGAAGTCTCCCCATGTAAGATGGATGAGCACCATCAGTTAAGTGACACCCATGCTGTTGATGTTGTCTGGCAGATTCTGCCATAACTATGAATCACCTATAATATTATCCCATCTACTGTGTTACAGGAAAAGCAGAGATTTCTGACAGATGTTCTGCATGAAGTGATGCTGCTTGACGGGTTGGCCAGTTCCCATCCGGTGTCACAGGAAGTGATACGGGCAACAGATATTGACAAGGTGTTTGACTGGATCGCATACAAAAAGGTGGGATAGAAAAGAGGCACATGCCAACGAGATATTTCACTATTGGGATAGACAGCCTATTTCATGCTAGAAGTTTTATATTTTTCTATTCTTTCTAGCAAATGAAAATTGATTGTAAGTAGGAAAGGTGTTACTATGTTCATGTCATTCCCGTGAACAGGACTTTGCTTTATAAATGAATAAAATGGAAATGAATGTTTGCCAAACACTGCATGGAAATATTCAAAGTATTGATGAATAAATGTTTGGGAACTTCATTTGAAATTGCTGTACAAATGGTGTTATGTAAATGTCAGATTTTAGTATTAAGAATGTTGACCTAACTAGTGACAAATTCTTTCTGCTAGTGCCCCTTAAATAATTGATTGGCTGATGCAAATGGGTCTATGTAGTAACAGAACACATACATTTAACAAATAATTTGTAAAGGAGTTTTGTGGGAACTGGGCATGCTTCCTGGTTGATATGGCAAAGCAAATAAAAATTAGAAGCTTTTGAATGAGTCAGGAAAACTTTGAATCAGTGACTAGTTATAAAGTTTAGGTAGATTTCAGTCTTTTCCACTGTTACAAGGATTAGGATTTATCCTTTATCTCTATCCATTGATTTAATTTTTACAGGAGGATGTATGTCTTAGCCTTGACATATAGTAGTCATTTAATAGTCACAATGTGGGTAAAGACTCATCTCATTTTAGTATAAGTTGAATTATACTTATTGGGATTTCTATGTAGTTTTCATTGATTCAATAATGCCATGAGCTTTAAAAAATTACTAAAGTGACCTTGTATATAAATATATTTGTTTGTAATAACTAGAGATAAAAATAATTTATCAGAAGTCCTTGGTATGCTGATAATGCTAATATAGATACTTGGTTTGGTGCTCAGTAATGACTCTCTAAATGACTGCTAATTAGTAATGAAGGCAATAGTATATAAAGACATTTTGTTAATAGAAAATGTCATTGCATTTGATCAAGTAGAGAGTTTCTGATATTTTTAGGAGTAATATCATTTAGGCTTATGATATATTTATCATGCTTATATTAATTTTGTATGTGATGGGTTTTGGCTGTGTTTGGTTTGCTATATATTCAATTTATTTGATGATAGTAATGTTTTAGATATAATCTAGAAAATTCTTTATTAAGACATTCCAAACTGATAGTAATATTTCTAGCTATTTTTCCCACTCTTGATTCTAAAAGGCTGTTTGTAAATACTAGATTTACTTTAATATGATTAAAATCATGACAATATTATTTTGATCAAATGTAATATCAGTGTACCTTTATATGGAACATCTAATCCTTATTCCATAGAATTGCAGAGTGTCAAGATGATTAAAGAGGGCTAAAAATAGAAACAGTAGTAAGTCTGAATAATATATGGCAATTTTCCTTCAACTCTGTTTACATTTTGGCAAAGAGGCATGCTATTTTACTGAAATGAAAAATCAGCCACCTGTGGTGAGGTTCTCAGACCACCATTGAGATAGTTTCTGATGAACGTTTTTAGAGCTGTATATTATTATGTTTCAAACATTAGTAAAAATGTAGCCTTTGCTCTGATATTTGAAGTGCCATTGTTGTACAATAAACGGTACCTGTTTAGAAGGTACAGTTTGATAGATGCTAACAAATATAGGCAGTGAGGATACCATAGCAATCATGTAAATAATATATATGTATATATCACTATAAGCTCATCTCAAGCCCATTTTAAATCCTGCCTTATCCACGCTGATCATCTTTACTATGTATTAGTTTGTATTTTGATAGTTTTATAGAAACAATATATATATATATATGTATATACATACATACTTCAATTTTCCTTCTTTCATTCATTATATTTATCTCAAGATACATACACATTGACAATTTATAGGTATGTAAACAATTTGTTTATTTACTTCGCTAGACATCTGAATAGTTGCTGGGTTTGGTTATTGAAAATATTACTGCCCATGGCTCTCTGCAAAACCTCAGACATCTTTACTAGCTGCAGAATCTCCATGCCCCATCTTGTAGACAAATTTCTAAACAGTCTTATTAAATAAGAAACACAGAGCCAAATACAGAGGTGTAAGCCATAGAGATCAGAGTAATAGCCACCAACTAACCTTAGCTCACCACCTCACCATAGCTTCCCAAGAGAACCTCTTCCTGTCTAACCTGTGCCTTTATTGCCTTCCTGTTCTGCCTTCTCATTGGCTCAGCCACATCACTTCCTCATCACTGCCTGTCTATACAGACCTCCAGGTCTCCATGGTTGGTACTGGGATTAAAGGCACCTGTCACCACACTGGGCTGTGTCCTTGAACGCACAGAGACTCTGCTTGCCATGTGATCAGATTAAGGGCATGTGCTACCACCACCTGACTTCTGTTTATGGCTATGACCTCTGACTTCCAGGAAAACTCTATTTATTAACAGACAAATAAAATATCACATTTCAGCACAAATAAAATATCACCACACCATCTACTTGCTGCATATGTAACTCAGGGTGGGTCCTTGTGATTCTTGTAACTTTTTCAGTTTCCAGCATTTGGTAAGTTGTGTGAATTTCCCCAGTCTTATACACCGCATCATCTTTTCTCCACTTGACCAGAGAGAATGTTTCAGTGAAGACGAAATGTCTAGTCAACAAACTCAGTCTTTTCTTCCTTGAGTTGCCTTTGCACAGGACTGAGAAACACTGAATCATACACGTGTGGGTTGGTTTCTGGACTGCTTATTCTGGTGCACTTGTAAATGTACTTATTTGGCTCCAGCACCACACAGCTACTGTTGTTTCCACATAACTAAATCATGAAATAAGACCCTGTCGGTCCTCCAGATAGATTTCCTGTAAAGTTCTTCAGTTCTTCATGGACTTTTGCATTTCCACAGAAACGAGTTTGTTAATTCCTACAAACCTTACACTGGAATTGTTAGGGCTGTGTTCTATTGAGAAAACCATCTGGGGAATTGACATCTTAACAATACTGCTTGAACAGACAGAGTGTACTCCAACTCAATTCTGTCAGGACACTCAATTCTGTCAGGTCCTCGTCCTATTTTCTCAGCTGGGTAGTTGATAGCAATCTTCCATACCATCTTACTGTTTTATCCCTGAGTATTTTACATTGTGAGTTAGTGGACTTGTTTTAAATTTCTCTTTCTGAATCTTTGTTGCCCATGTAGAATGAACTTTGTGGAACTGAAGGGGTTAAGAGCATTGGCTGTTTTTCCAGAGGACTGAGTTTGGATTCCTAGTATTCAGATGGTGGCTCACCACTATCTGTAAGTCTATTTCCAGGCCATCTGACACCCTTTTCTGTCCACTATGGGCATTGCATGCATGTGGGGTACAGACACACATGCATGAAAAACCCTCTCACATTATTTTAAAAAAATCTTTTAAAGTTAGAATTAAGTTTGTTTTTAGAGACTTCAACAATAAAATAGCTGTCATTTCTTGACTATGAATGCTTTATTGGCTAATGGAAAATAGCAGCTTCTATAAAATTATATTTATTTGGTCTCTGAAATTTTCATACTTGGATACAATGTATCTTGATCCTCTCCATTCATCACCTGCCCCCTCTACATCTTATAAGGAATCCCCATGATAGCTTCCTTCTAAAATCATGCCCTCCCTATTTGTTTATTTATTTATGTGTATATTCTTAAATTCATTGATTCCAGTTTGTTTTTCCCATCTGTACAAAGGCATGGTGTCATCCACTATTGTACAGAAAACCTACCAGGGACCACATTCCTAAAGAAAAGTGAGTCTTCCTCTCCTGTTAGCTATTGGTTGCCAAGAGCTCTTCAGCTAGGAGGAGGGCCTTGAGATCCCTATCCCAATCTATGTTGGAAGGTTTTGTTGGCTTGACTTTGTGCAGACCTTGCTCACATGTGCACAGTTCACCAAGAGTACATCTGTGTGACAACATGTGATGTCTAGAGGACAGCATTTCACAGCACACCCTCCCCATTCTCTGGCTTTTATATTCTTTCTACCCCTTTACAATATTCCCTGAGCTAGAGGATGATGTTTAAGGAGTGGGTATTGCTTTCCCTCCTATGGCTGAACATTAACTTCAGTGTGGGGGACCTGCCCCCACTTTACCCGGGGAACTCTTGAGGAGAGAGTGATAAGAAAATATCAGGTAGAATGATAGGCCTAGCCAGCTTGTAGAAAAAAGACACACAGAATAGTTTGGGAGGACCTGAGTCAATAACTAATGGCCCAGAACTTTATTCGAAAGGGCTTTTTATAACAATGCAAAAGACCTCCCCCTTCTTAGATATAGCCAAGTGCAGACCCTTCCAAATACCTGGTAGCCATACCCGTGGTCAAATTATCCCCTTATGCATCCCTGCTTGTAGCATGAATTGTTAGAAGGTCTTATTAATAAAAACAAACTCAGAGGCAGGTATTGGGGTGAACGCTGAAAGATCAGAGAAACAGAACAAGCCACAGCTAAACTCACCTCGCCAATTCATCAGCTGATCTTGTTTCCTCAAACTGGAAGCCTCTGTGTCCTCATCTGAATGGATCTCAGCTGAACTGCTGCTAAAAGCTAAAAGCTTAAAAGGGCTCTAGTTCCTGGTCCGCACGCCTTATATACCTTTCTGCTTCCTGCCATCACTTCCTGGGATTAAAGGTGTGTGTCACCATGCCTGGCTGTTTCCAGTGTGGCTTTGAACTCACAGAGATCCATATGGATCTCTGCCTTTGGAATGCTAGGATTAAAGGTATGTGTGCTACCATTTTCTAGCTTCTATATCTATCTAGTGGCTGTTCTATTCTCTGACCCCAGATAAGTTTATTAGGGTGCACAATATATTGGGAGGACACAATATCACCACACCTTATGTGTAAAGCAAGCTCAGATTCTCTGACACTGAGTAATTTGGGCCTCCACAGTGTAGCCTGTTTTCAGCAGGTCTCTCTGATCAATGACTCATAGGGAGGTTACTCAAGTCTGGCATTGGGTATCTC